CACCAGCTCGCGCGCGTTCTCTCGAGCTGGCGACGCCGAGTCGACCGAGGCGCCAACAGCAGCGGAGGGAAGTTGGCCGGGGAGAAACCACTGCAGACCAAATCGCGGGTAGCTCCCTTGTTCTGACTGTCGCGATCGGGGCACTCTCGACTCCAATGTCATTTTTTCTTGCACGCGTGACACTCTGCGCCTTTCATCAATCGTTCCACCGGCAACCGACGCGTGCGAGGCCTCACCTCATCGTTGGCACTGCGATGTTCTTTTCGTCGGAGAAACCCGGCACCTGCTGGAGCGGCTCGAGGAGATGGAGAGGTGGCGCCTGGCGTCGGATAGAGCATGCGATTCACTTTGAGGTTTCTCTTGTACTCATTTTCCTTCCATGTGTTCTGTCTCTCTGTCTGGATCGAAGCTAGTACCTCTGGAACGTCGATATTGTCGATATCTCCTTCATCTATAGAAGCCGCAACGATATCTTCCTGATTCGATGGCATAGAAGAGAAGTCGCTGTAGTCTTGTGAGTCGTCCTCGACTGTTGCAGGAAAGTTGATATTGGTAAGCTTCCCCACATTGCGGTCATAGAAACGCCATATTCAACTTGTCCATCTCTCGAGCCGCCGTGACCAACGCGTCGTAGGAACTCGACCCTTGGGACACAACTTTGAGCATCTGCATGCAATTTTTCTCCAGACTGATATCCCCCTCGATTAACAGCTTCTCCCGCGACCCGTCGAGATCGAGGCCGTGCGCTTTGAGGCGATCGAAATTGTGATCCACCCGTGCCGTATACGCAGACAGCGTCTCGCTGTGCTTCCCAAGGTACCCGCGCAAGCACTCTCGTGCTGCCAGCCGTCTCTCGTCGTCGACTCGTGCTCCACTTAGAACATCGAGTCGCCGTCCAATCGTCATAGCACCGTCGTCAGATGTCAGGACTCCGTCGGTGATGTCTTCGACCTTCCGTTGACGATCTCGATCTTATTTTGTGAGAATGTTGTCGGCCTGCTTTCTCGAAAGTACGTCGGTCTGCTGCAACCATATTATGATGCGCCTTCGTCACGATCGGTAGTCTGCCCCACCCGAGCCACTCGTCCAGACCTGTCATGTCCGGCTTTTCCCACTTCCTTTCCGGCTTGATCTGCCAATCCGTGCCATGCCACTCGGACGAGCCAACCACCTCGCCAGGACCCTGTCTGGTATCCATCCTACTGCTTGTCGTTGTTGTAGCCACGGCTCTCCCAGCGGGGGTCCGCTGAATCTCCTGACCGGCTGCTCCACCGGTCTGTGGCCAGATTGTCATGCCATCTATCTCCCGTGGGGCCGTCGCGAGCATTCTGGTCAGCACCCTCTTCTCGACTGCTCGCTCTGGCTGGACAGCAGCTCCTGAATGTCGTTCAATTGCGTCTGAGACATGCCGTCTGGTTCCCGCTCCTGCTTCACTGTGAAGGACGAGGCGTTCCTCGCTGCGCCGCCGTCGCCTTCAGCACTCTCGGTTCCTCGAGACCCTGATGCTGTCGTTCCGAGCCTTCCCCATTGCTCTTCGCCGCCGCCTGGTCTGTCCGACTCTGGCATTGCCGTGGATGCCGAACCTCGTCGAGCTGTGGACGTTCACGCTCCTGCTGCCACTGACGCGCTAAGCATGTCAGACGATGATCGAAAGGGCGGTGATATGGGTCAGTGTTTTTCTCAAACATGCAAACTGAGCCAAAGAGGGGGGCTATGCAAAGCAAATACATACACACATGAAATCAAAGCAGTCAGAGTTCGAGATCACACGTACCTAACAGGGGTGTAGGACCAAAGTCCTCAGCACCCTCCACCAGAAACCTCGATACCAAGTTAACCTGGCTGAAATGTGTACGTACGATGTGCTGTCTAATCCCCCTTGCCGCCTTCCCCACGTCGTCAAACCACATGCACCGAAGTTCCGAATCGTGTATCGGAGGTGAGGGGGTGAGATCGAAGTGGAACGGAGAGCCCCCCTACCGGGGAATCGATTTCGGTTTCGTGCTCGTGCGTGCCGTGCGTGCGGGCGAGGCGAAGCTGCGTGGGCGGGCGAGAGAAAGTCTCCTGTGGCTGAGGCGCGGCCGGACCAAATGTTTCCCTTCCGAGCGGCCGGTGGCGCGCGGTGTCCCGCCGGTGTCCCGCTGGTGTCCCGTCGGTTCTCCTGTGGCTGAGGCGCGGGCGGACCAAATGTTTCCCTCCCGGGCGGCTGGTGGCGCACGGTGTCCCGCTGGTGTCCCGCTGGTGTCCCGTGTGGCTGAGGCGCGGCCGGACCAAATGTTTCTCTTCCGGGCGGCCGGTGCGGCGCGGTGTCCGCCGGTGTCCCGCCGGTGTCCCGCCGGTGTCCCGTCGGTGTCCCGTCGGTGTCCCGATGATGATCTTGATGATGATTATGTTGATGATTATTGTCGAGCCGAGGCGACTCGAGCGAAGTTTTGAGTCAACCTCTCCTTCCTCACTCTCTCTTGCCGCCGCCTCCGCGGCTGTATGGCTCAAGGAGGGGGCCCCCTCTTTTGTGCAGAGAGCGCGGCAGACACGCTCGCCGGCACGGGCCGGCGCCAGATGCTCGACGGACGAGCGCAGCACATCTCATCGTGCAGAGTACATCGTCGACGGTAATCACGACATTGGTATTGCGGAGCTAGATCCACGGACGAGTTCTGGCACTCCTGAAGGGACCAGAACACCATGCAGGGGGACGACAAGAAGTCCAAGGATGCCATTCCCGAATGGGACGGCAACCCAGGGCGTTGGCGTCACTTCGAGACGGCTGTAAAATGGTTCCCTCGCACGCTCAAGCGACAAGAGAGGGGACCTGGCGGCGAACCGGATCATTGGACGCATGCTGCAGAGTAAGACGATCGCCATCAGGACGTTTGCGACCACTCTGGATCCGGACCGATATGAGAATCCGAATGGCCACCTCCTCCTCCTAGACGACCTGAGGAGCAGCCCGCTTGGGAAGCTTCCGATCCCGGACGCAGCCCACAAGATCAAGCATTACTACAAGGATTTCAAGCGTCGCAAGGGCGAGACGGTGGGCGCGCTCCTGATCAGAGAGCAGGACTGCTACTCAGAGATGGTCCAGGCGCTGGAGCGCCTCCTGGAGGAGATGGGCGACAACGACAAGTACAAGCAGTGCCAGGAGTGCTACGGCTACTTCGAGAGAGACCGTGGCGCAGCTGGACGCGGACAATGGTACTGCCAGAGGTGCTGGGACCACTGGGAGCCCAGCCCCGACGCGTCGGCGCCCTCAGCAGCAGATGATGCCCCCGCTGAGGAAGCAGAAGAAGCAGATGAGTACGAACGACAGTCGATCACGTCTCGTTCGCAGGGCTCTCGAACGGAACGTTTTCACCGACAAGAATCCATGGCTAGCAAGCTCAAGGTTTCGGAAGCGATGGCAGTGGGCTCTACGTTTTTCGGCCACGCTTCTGGAGTTCTGAAGGTCCTCCGCGGATTCTTCCTGCTCGAGGCAATGGACTTCACCGAGAAAGAGAAGCAGGACGTCCGCGTGGTCACGCAGAATCGTTTGGATTTCGATGCAGTCTCCAAGGCTTTGAAGGAGAGATGGGAGGACAAGGCGCTGGTGCAGCGGGACTTCGGACCGAGGGCTATGCCTCGGTACGGCCCGGAGTCAGGCCCTCAGTCGGCCCTCGTTGCAGAGTTTGACGACGTACACGGACCAGACTGGTACGACGGCTACGCAGCGGCAGTTCAGGCGTGGGAGAACGACGGTTACGACCACCACGAGAACGAGGACGACTACGACGTCGTGGAGGAGCCGCAGCTCGCCTCAGAGCCAGAGGAGTCCGAGGCCATGGACGAGGATCTCAACCATCTCAACGAGGAGCTCGAGGCGGCCCAGGCGATGGCAGCAGAGGCTTCACGCACTCTGGTTCAAGCCAGGCAAGCAGTGGCCGCCGCTCACAAAGATCGAGGATTTGGCAAGCCATCATCGAGTCCAGGAGGGAAGAGTCGCCTTCCCCCGTCGTGGCCACATCAGCAGCCCTCGAGACCGTCATTCGGTGGTCGAGGCCCGAAGGGCAGCAAGGGCAGCAAGAGCGGCAAGGGCAGCAAGTACCGCGACAGGGACCACGACCAGAAGGGCAAGAATGCGAACTACCTGGAGTTCCACACGATCACGCACGGGTTTGACGAGCTCCAGGGTCTGTACCAGGCGGAGCTGAACGACAGCGGCCTCGCCCCCTCTGAGGCCATGGTTGATTGCGGGGCTTCCGCGTCCGCCGGAGGCGAGCGCGCAGTCCAGGCCCTGGTTGCCGCCGTTGCGGCTGCGAACCCACAGGCCAGGATCGAGATCAACAAAAATGAAAGACCGTGGTTTCGTTTCGGAGACAATAAGTGGGGCAGAGCACTGTATAAGGTTTCGGTCGAGTTCGAGCCGGGCTTCGTTCTGGGTATTTGCTCTCAGTCCTGGCGTGCCTCTCGTTCTGTTGGGAATGACCGCTCTGGAGTCGTGGCCGGCAATCGTGAATTTCCGAACCGGGGAGGCTGTGATCAGGGGTCAACTGGTGCAGCTTCGCAAGACTCCAGGCAAGGGCCATTGCATCCTCGACCTGGTGAAGCACGTTTCCGAGATTTTAAACCCGACCGCGGAAAACACCGAGGGTCTTGCAAGGGCGTTTCAGAGATGGTCGATGACAAAGACCACATCACCACCATCAGCATCATCTCAGACAAGAACGACATCACCAGCATCATCTCAGACAAGAACGACATTATCAGCATCATCTCGGACAAGAACGACTTTATCAGCACCATCTCAAACAAGAACGACATTATCAGCATCATCTCAGATGAGAACGACACCATCATCAGTATATACGGCCCTGACGACAACACCATCATTGATAACAGCAACATCACCTCCATCAACCATAACAGGGAGAGCAGCTCCATCATGGTCATCCCATCCTCCGCCGTCTTTTGGCTCTGGAACTTGCTCAGAGCGGATTTCGGCAATCCGCAAGCCGACGCCTCAGTCAGAGCGTTTCCATGGAGGGCAAGGACGAATGGGTACCTGTCGACATAGATGCCGACAAGAAGGAGGAGGGCCCGGAGGTAAAGTCACCTTCGGCGGCAGCGAGCTCCGGACCTACGACCCAGGTCAAGCGGGAGTTCGTCTTCAACGGCCAGAAGATGGAGTATGTCACCTCGGAGGGCAAGGTCAAGGAGAGAGATCCGGGCAACGCGCACCAGGGTCGCAAGAAGGAGAAGCAGATGGAGCTGGACCCGGCGTTCGCACTGCAGGTGGACCCCCGCGACCCGAGGACCACACGGGGACCGTGCGGGCAGACGCATCGCAAGTACTTCACGGTCAACAACCAGTGGGGCCAGACCAGGACGTGCTATCGGTGCGGGCTGAGGTTGCTCTACGTTCCGACGGCGAAGGCGCCGATGACGAACCTCAGCATGCAGCATCCGAAGTTGGTGGAGTCCGGCCTGGAGTTGGTGCGGCACTGCAACCTGTGGGAGACGGCCAATCACGAGCAGGTGACCGCGATGATCAACATCGCCACCTCACTTCGGAGGCTCCCCGGGACCGAGATCCGACACGCGCCGGACGCGCTGCTGGAGATGTTGGGGGCAGCGAATCCCAGGCGCAAGGTCCAGATGGCCGAACCAGTACCCGGGCCAGTCTGAGCCGGGTGCCGAGACAGCTTCTGGCGGCCGGACGCCGCAGGACACTACTCGCAGGACTGGCTTTGGCCATGACCGTGGGTACGATCACAGAGGCAGTGGAGATCTGCTGCCATCCCAACAGCATGCTGACCGACGAGTGCACCAACATCGGCCTCAGCATGGAGCGGATCAGCATCGAGAACGGCTACAACCTCAGCACGAAGGCGGGGTTCGAGGCCGCTAGCAAGAAGCTGGACGAGGTGATGCCGAAGAGGGCTTGGATATCGCTACCATGCACACTATGGACTTCACTTACGAACTTCAACTACAAGACACCAGAGGCACGTGCACGCCTCGAGAAAGACCGACTTCGAGACCGACGACGTGTGAAGTATGGAGTTCTCCTGTTGCTAAAGATTGTTGACAACGGAGGCGAAGTCTACTTCGAGTGGCCTCACAGGTGTCAAGGCTGGAAGATTCCCGAGCTCAACTTTCTACGCACGGAGTTGAGGCGTCGGGGACGACACGTCTTCGAGGATCGGATCGACGGGTGCATGTACGGCCTCAGGGACTACAACACTAACGAGCTCGTCGAGAAGGGCTGGAGGATCATGACCACCGACCCGGAGTTCTCCAAGGTCGCGACCGTGTGTGACCACTCACACGGCCACCGAGTCATCAGCGGGAAGCTACACACTGCAGCCACAGCCTACTACCCGCAGGCGATGTGCAAGGCAATTGCCCGACTATGGCATGCTCAACTCCGGACCCCGATCGACCTCAACATGGCCCTGGAGAACCCTGCTGTCCTCGACCTCGAGAATGCCTACCTGATGGAGCGGGACACCGGGAGCATCTACGTCGCTGACCCCACGGATCCCGAAAGGGAACAGGTGCGGGCGATGTTGAGCAGGATCCACAAGGCTGCAGGGCACCCAGGGAACGAGCACTTGGCTTACTGGTGCAAGAAGCGACAGTGTCCACGCTGGATCATCGAGGAAGCGATCAACCTACGCTGCGAGGCATGCGACCTGGTCAAGCACGGCCTCACCCACAAGGTCAAGGCGAGCCTCGACATCCCCATGGCACCTTGGCAGGCAGCCGTCATGGACGTTTCCGACCTGACGTTCCCGGACTTGAATGTGAAGGCCAGGTTTCTTCTCATCGCAGAGGTCGCCACCGGCCTGATGTGTGGAGACATCACTGCGAAGATCGGCCTCAAAGATAAAGGCACGGATTCGTCAGCTACACTGTTCACGACGTTTGCCAGAACCTACCTTCAACACTACCCCAAGCCAAGGTGGGTTTTCGTCGATCCTCAGCCATCTTTTGTGGGCGGCGAGTTTAAAGACAACTGCCAGTTGGCCGGCATCGGCGTCTCAGCGAAACCAGGAGGAGCACATTGGATGGCTGGCGACATCGAGCGCCGCATCTCGACCGTCAAGCAGGTAATGAGGAAGCTTCGCCTACAATACCCGAAGCTGAGTCCCGAGACCGTGTTTTACATCTCGATTGCGGCGGCCAACAACATGGACAACATCAAGGGCTACACGCCGATGCAGTGGGCTTTCGGGTTCTCTCCCACCGAGGACCCAATCTTGGCGCATAACGCAGCTACTGGCAAGTTGAAGTCCGACTTCTTCGAGATCGAGCGGGTACGAGCGGATGCAGAGGCGACTTACCTGAAGGAGAAGGCGTCCAGGAAGATCTCAGAGCTGAAGAACTCAGCCCCACGACCTCGACATGAATATAAACGAGGCGACTGGGTCTGTGTCTGGCGGTCGTACGCTGCGACAGGGAAGCGAAAGCTTTCCGGGCAGGATTTCTTCACGGACGGCCTCTTCATCGGACCGGGCAGAGTTCTGTTCTCCGAGCCGGCGGTCCAGACAGGCAACAAGGACGGCGTGATCTGGGTCATCATGGGCAACCGATGCTGGCGCTGCGCAGCTGAGCAACTGCGGCCAGCCACGCAGTCGGAGATCGTCCAGATCAACCTGAAGAAGGACGACATCCTCAACAGTCCGCTCGAGGACGTCTGGAGGCACCTCCAGGACTTTGACGACATCGCCGGGGAGCCCTCCCCAACGGCAGATGGCATGAGGATGCTACCACGTCAACCTCTTGAGGGCATGCCGAGGGTGATCGAGAATCCCGATGTGGCCGTGGAACCCCACGACGTCACGGAGGCAGATGACGACCTGGAGGTCGACGAGGACAACTCAGCACCAGAGCCACCACAGATTAAGCGAACAAGATTGAGAGGCAAGCAACCGACTGTGTCGTGGCCACCTGTACCGACTGAAGCTTTCCAACCGCGTTTTGGGAGATCATCTTCATCAAGACCCTCAGCTGAAGTTGCTCACGCTGCCCTCTTCAAGGCGGCGACCGACCATGTGGAAGCCAGCGAGACCGACATCATCAACTTCGTGCAGGATCCGAATAACGAGGCCGAGATGGACCTGATGAAGATTGAGATCGAGACGGACCTTGAGGAGTTCTGCTTCGATGCGAGCGCGTACCTGGAGAAGCAGCTGAACCGAGTGGCCAACAACACGGTCAAGAAGGGTGTGCAGGTTTCGTTTGGCCGCATGAGCCCCGAGGAGAAGCCACTGTTTCAAGAGGCAATGGCACGGGAGCTGGCGGGACATCTGGAAGTACCGACAGTCCGGGCTGCATCGGTTTACGCTGACTACAATCATGGAAAAGACATTCCAGCGGACAAGCTGATCAAGATGAGGTGGCTACTGACCTGGAAGCCTTTGACACCACCTGAACCACCGGACAAGTCGGACCCACACCCCGTGAGCACGCCGGACGGGAAGTTCAAGGCGAAGGCCCGTATCATTCTGTTGGGCTTCTCACATCCAGACCTTGTCAGTCGCGACAAGTTCGGAGATCGGGTGCTTCCCACGGCGTCACCAACCATTTCAAGAAAAGGGAAGCTGGCACTCCTCCAGATGGCTGCTTTCCACGGCTGGACCTTCGAGCTAGCCGACGCGAAGTCCGCCTTCCTGCAGGCCGGGCACACCGAGGAGTGGAGGAAGCTCTACACGAAGGGCGTGAAGGAGCTCCGGCAGGCCTTGCAGATCAACGAGGAGGAGTCCATGCGAGTCCTGGCAGCGATCTACGGGATCACGAATGCGCCGTGGGTTTTCTGGAAGTACGTGGACCACAAAATCCACGAAGCAGGAGGCAAGAGCGTCCTCATCGAGCCATGCATCTGGATCATTCAGGACCAGGACGGCACCGTGTGCGGGGTCATCGGCTCGCACGTGGACGACTTTGGCATCGCAGGCGACAGCGACAACAAGTTCTACCTCGACATGAAGAACATGCTGAAGGAGATGCTGCGGTGGTCTCCATGGCGAAGCACGCCGTGCATGTGGGCCGGCATGTGGATCACCCAGGAGCCATCGGGCAAGATCCATGCCAGCCAGGAGGAGTTCTGTCACCAGCTCCTCGAGATCAGGGTTGAGTCCGGCAAGTACCTCTCGAAGGATGACAAGCTCAAGCCGGAGGACGTCACCCAGTTCAGGGCAGGCCTGATGAAATGCCAATGGAGAGCGACACAGACAGCACCACAGTTCTCATGTCGGGTGTCACTGTTGGCTCAACGGGTGAACGAGGCGACGTTCGGGGACCTGAAGGACACGAACGCCCTCATACGCGATGTGAAGCGGACCGCTCGTGACTCCCTGGTGTTCCACAACTTCAATAGCAACTGTGGCGGCAAGCTGAAGTGGGACGACCTAGTGATCGTGACGTGGGTCGACGCAAGCAGACTACTACAACGAGGAGGCTACATCGTGGCGTTCACCACGGCCGAGATCCTCAAGCAGAAGGAATGTGCAGTATCGATCGCCGACTGGAGATCGTACAAGCTCAAGCGCACCGGCATCGGCACCAACGGCTGCGAGGGCCAGGCCCTGTACGACGGCGAGAACGCCGCGTACCTGATGCGCATGCTGTGGTCAGTCATGCACGGAGTTCCAGTCACCGCGCACACTCAGGAGGAGGTGGCGCAATCCATGACCTCGGTGCTGGTGATCGACAGCCGAGGAGTTTATGATTCAGTTCACAACAAGGAGAGCTTCGGCATAGGCCTGAGCGACGCGAGGACCGGCGTGGAGGTTTTGCATGTGAAGGCGAACTGCGGGCCCGAGAAGAACCAGCACTTGGTTTGGGTACCCTCGGACCTCAATCTCACCGACGGCCTCACGAAGGACAGTCCCGAGGCAAGGAAGCCTCTGGCTCTGTGGCTTGCACGGCGTACCTGGATCATCAGGTACGATGAGGATTTCATGTCAGCCAGGAAACGACAGCGAGCCAACAAACTCGCTCAGGACAAGCCGCAGGCACCTACGGACGCTGAAGCCGAGGCCGCCGACGCTTTAGCTTTTCTCGACCTATCTTGAGGATAGGGTCGGGCTCTTTCTCATCATTCCTTTTCATATTTGTACTGTGCAGGGCCCCTCTTTTTGATCCAGTTCGGTCGGAACGGTTGAGAAGGATTTTAGGCTCATGTCGAGCCGAGGCGACTCGAGCGAAGTTTTGAGTCAACCTCTCCTTCCTCACTCTCTCTTGCCGCCGCCTCCGCGGCTGTATGGGATCGAGGAGGGGGCCCCCTCTTTTGTGCAGAGAGCGCGGCAGACACGCTCGCCAGCACGCACGGGGCCGTCGCCAATGCTCGACGGACGAGCGCAGCACATCTCATCGTGCAGAGTACATCGTCGACGGTAATCACGACACTTATGATGATATGTGATGATGATGGTGATGATGATGATGTTGATGATGGCGATGATGATGATGACGATGATGATGATGATGATTATGATGATGATGATGATGATGATGATGAGATGATGATGACGATGATGATGATCATGATGATAATGATGATGTTGATGTTGATGTTGATGTTGATGTTGATGTTGATGTTGATGATGATGATGATGATGATGATGATGATGATGATGATGATGATGATGATGATGATGATGACGTCGATTGTGAGATCGATTGTCATATCGATAGTGAGACCGAATGTGAGATCGATTGTGAGATCGATAGTGAGATCGATAGTGAGACCGAATGTGAGACCGAATGTGAGATCGACTGTGAGATCGATCGTGAGATCGATAGTAAGATCGACAGTGAGACCGAATGTGAGACCGAATGTGAGATCGATTGTGAGATCGATTGTGAGATCGATAGTGAGATCGATAGCGAAATCGATAGTGATATCGATAGTGAGATCGAATGTGAGATCGATTGTGAGATCGATAGCGAGATCGATTGAGTGAGACGTTGGTTCCCCCTCCCCCCTCACCTCCTTATCACCCGCAGGGTGGTCGTATAGGTATTTTAGGAGGCTGGAAAGGATGGCGGAACTGAGCCAGAAGGAAGAGAGAGGGAGGAAGGAAGACAGGAGCCCTCCCCTCTGCAGAAGCACCCCCCTTCGACCGCCCAGGGGCTGGATGCGCAGGAATTATGGCGCCAGTCGCCAGGCTGCGCGCAGACGACGAGCCTAGACCCCGGGAAACGAAAGACTCGAGGTTGGAAGGCTCGGATTTGCCTGCGGGGGCCAACAGCACAGTGGCGGGACCTCGTCTGAGATTCGCCGCAAACCGCCAAACTTCAAGCTGGGACCAACAAAAGCGGCGGCAGACCCGAGTTCTGGAAAACTCGAGTCTTACGTTTGCCTGAAAGACCCCCGACGTCGTGATCTCTGTCGCAAAGTGGATTCCCCAGAAGTCCCGACCCCTTTCTGGGGACAGGTCTTCCATCCCGAAATTGTGACGGCCCCAGGGCCTGGCAAGGGCCTCCAAGGGCCGAAAATTGTCAGAAACCGTCTGCCGTGACTTATGACCCGAAGGGTGGATCTGGGGGTCGAAAGCCATTCCCCCGACCCCTCCAGGGGCGCGTCCAGACCAGAATTCCGACACGAATCTAGCCATGGCGACGAGGCAGCCCCCCAGGAGCCCCAAGAACTTCAAGCAAGGCTCAAATCTCGAACCTTTTCTAGAGGAAGGAAAAATCAGAGCGAGGGGGCCGAACGGTCATTCACTGTCCCTGGGCATATGGCTGCAAAGGGCTTCCACGGTGTGGATTGTTGTTGCTCTTGTTTGTTGATTGTTGTTTGTTGTTTGTCGTCGTCGTCCCACCCGCGACCCACCCGACCCACCCGCGACCCACCCCGCGACCCACCCGCGACCCACGCGACCCACTCGCGACCCACCCACCCTGCGGCGGGCTCGCTGCACAATTTGTTAAAAAAAATCCGGCAACTGCGGCGGGCTTCTTCAGAGCCTCGCAGGCTGCCGACGTCCCCGCCGCCCGCCTCACTCTTGTCCGCAACTGCGGGGTGCTACGTGCATCAGCACAAACTGTCGGAGGTCCACGCGGATTTCTCGGATCGGCGCTGAGCGCGCCAGGGGCGGCGCCGGAGGCGCCGCCAAGGAGGTGGGGGCCAGCCCAGATCCAAGAGAAATCCGCGCGGAGCTCCCACACGCCTCGTCAAAAATAAACTGACGGTTTTTGTTTTCGGTGCTTGCGTGGTGGGCGCGACTTCAGTGCTGGCATGAGGTATTCGGCACAGGCGTAGGGGTGTCCGAAATCCGGCAGTACCCTCACAGCATCGAAGAGCACGTTTTCCGACGAGGGCCCGAACCATCGAGCGCCTCGCTCTTGACCAGCGCTTCAATGTATTGTTGACGAGGCCTGCAGGGTGTGTGCTCTGCCGATCCCCCGGGTCCGAGCGTCACGACGCCAGGGGGGTCTGGGGAGCCTCGGGGCCGAGGCTCAGCGGCGCGCAGAACCCGGAGATCCGACGTCACGAGAAGGCGCGGCACCGCAGTGAAGAGCTCGACCCGAGCCCTGGACCCCGCCGTGTTCCCACATCTTTCGAGCCAGATCGATCCGCGAGGGCCCAGGGGCGCGAAACCGGGCTTCAGTCGCCAGCTGTTGAAGAACTGCAGCGCGGGGATCTCAGGGTGGCGCCGCTCCCAGATCAGCGGCGCGCCCAAGGGGGGGGGAAGTGAGAGGGGGCGGCGGGCCTTCTCAGACGGCTCGGAAGCCCCCCGGCCTTCTGAGAGGCTTTGCCAGCCTCCCCCCTCCCCCGAAGACACTGAATACTTCTCCGAGGGGGAGAGGGTCTCTGAGAAATCCCGCCACCTTCTGAGAAGTCCTTCTCCGTTCTGAAGTGCACGCTGCACTCCTCCTCCTCCTCCTCCTCCTCCTCCTCCTCCTCCTCCTCCTCCTCCTCCTCCTCCTCCTCCTCCTCGCTCGTCGCCGGATCTCAGGGTGGCGCCGCGCACGGAGGGAGGGGGCGCGGGAGGCGGGCGAGACTCTCACCGCCCCTGCGCCTCGCCGGCGCCCCAGGCGGGGCCGAGCTGCCTGGCGCGCGGCCGCACGGGGCGGGGGGCCACTGGCGCTCGGACGAGGGCGAGGTAAGCTACGCCGCGCTATCCCTGGTTTCGCGGCCCGGGGGCATCCTGCTGGCGCTGCCTGGGTCCTGGCGGAGGCAGAAGGATTCGCAGGACTTGTGGGACCCCTTCAAATGGTCAACTTGTCTTTGCTCGGCGCGGGGGGGGCGCGGGGGGCCCAGCGGGCGGGGCAGCGGGGGGACAGGAGGCAGATCGTAAGTATGGAACCGAACTCTATACACCGACGTTTTTAGCGGCCCTGCACTGAGAGTTGCCCAGGAGAGCGGATCATGGTGCACACGGGATCCTGGTGTACGCATGTTTCGTTGCATCCTTGGCAAAACGGGGAAAAGTATGCACCACATCACTCCGACGTCGTCCCCGACCCTCAAAAAAAGTCCTGGGATTGAAAACAGCCCGCCGCTGGTAATGTGTATGCCCCAGCTTCCGAATAAGAGCGACTAGGCTGACTACACCACCAGGGTAAAAGCTAGAACAAAATCAACAAGACGATCGTTTTGAATGATCTGCAGACGGCAACGCCGAAAGAATACCATTAAGTGACATTCGTCTGTCACTGTTGGCAGCGTGCGCGGGCGTGCACCATGGGCCAGGTTATTAATATGCCATGTTTGGGCTTGCGTGCCCGGTGGCGACATTGGGAGGCGGACGCCACTTAATGCCCGGGTGCTCTTCCAAGCTAATTTCACAGGGCCGCTGGCGTGGGCGGTTCCACGTTCTGCCGTGCGCCTTCGTTCCCACAATCGGATGGCCAACGTGCACCGCGCAATGCAGACGAGAAGCTCTTCTGTAACGTTGACGGGCGGATGTCGCTGCATGCGACGGGCCCCGCCTGGACTGATTCCACAGCGCTTTGGCTTACATCCCCGTGCCACTTCTGCTATACACTTGTTTCACAGGGATGCACCTGATTACCAGGCCACCCCAGATTTCGGGTCTGGAGGGGTACGGGTTCCACGTGTGTATTCCCAGTGTTCCCCGACACCCTCCCCACTGGGGACGGAGGGCAACTGGGGGCCTTCGGGTTGGGTTGGGGTGGTTTGGTGGGTGGGGGGGACAGGAGGCAAATCGTGAGAGCGACTGGGCAGAAGTAAGCTGGAGGAATCACGTTAGCCAGCGTGGACCATGAAAAACAAAAAGATCTTTCCGTGTGGATGTGTGAGCAATGCGGTGCAGCGATCTGCGTGTGCAAGCCATGTGGTGCAGGATGTGCTATGTGGGGTAAGCTACGCGGTGCAGCCTCAACGGACCCCCCACGCGTGGTGGGCGGTGACCCAGGCCGCCACTTCACCTCCCCAGCAGCCTCTGCCTGCCTTCCTCCGGAGGCGAGATGCGACGACCGATGAGTCATGCCCCGCCCCTTCCGTGGGCGTCGAGCGAGAAGGGAAAATGAAAAGGAGAAGACCTTCTCAGAGGGCGGCGGGGCTTCTCAGAAGCCTTCCGGCCTTCTGCGAAGTTTTCAGCGTCTTCGGGGGAGGCTCCGCAACTTTCTCGGAAGGCCCAGGGACGTCCGAGCCTTCCGAGGAGGTCCGGCCCTTCTCGCCTCCTCCCTGGGCCCGCCACCGACTCCACCAGGAAGGAGGAGGCACGAAGGCGACGTACGAAGACAGCAACATCAACGAAGGTGCAACGCAAACACAAGTATGAGTGCCGCATAGACCCCCAGGCGTGCCACGCCACATCAGCCAACGCTTTCCCCGCGTTCGTGGCCCAATCGCGCCGTGCTCGAAAAAACGGTTCAGCATGGCGCCAACAGTGCCCATGAGGGCCACAGGAGAGTTCGAACAGACCCTCAACACGACCAAGACGGGCCACAAAGGTGGCGACAACGTGTTCCCAAAACGGACCAAAAAGGCTGCCAAGACGGCCCAAGAGGACCCCAAGAGAACCTCAACGGGCCCCCAGAAAGCAGAAATGAGTGATTTCTCAGATGATGTTGTACCCGTCGGTCGGAAGAAGTGGGTAGAAACATGAAGTGGCAAGGCGTTGGAAGTAGATTAGGCGTCCGCCCGCCCACTGAAGGGGAAGGAAGAGGGATAACCACTCGACTCTTGAAAAAGGAAGGCGCCTAAGGTAGATTGGGACTCGGGCATCCAAAAATACCTACCTTCAACGACCGACGTGTATGACTATGGCATACCCACCCTGTGACTTTCCGGGGAAACGACACGGCCCAGCCCCCAGGACCGTTCCGAGACGGCCCGAAGGGGCCCCGGCAGGGCTCCGAGACGGGGCTCCGACAGGACGGCCCCGAAAAAACGGAGCCCGAGACGGCCCGCGGAGGGCCCCAGGGCACTGCCAGAGGGGCCCCAGGGAGACTCCAGACGGCCGACGAGAGCTACAAGACAGCCCGACGGGGCTGCCAGACTGCCCCAAAGACACCCCAAAGATACCCCCCTTAGACGGCCCACTAAGGCCCCCAGACGGCCCGACAAGGCCCCAGGACGGCCCGGCAAGGCCCCCAGACGGCCTCAGATCAGTCCCGAGAGGCCTCAAGACGCCCCGGGAGCGGACGGAGCTCTGGTGCGGCTGTACCCGCCACGAAGCAGTGCATCACGCGCAACATCCGGCGACACTTGTGCAAGAGGAGCCGACAACAAGCGACCTCGCCGACTGACGTGTGCGAAAGCCGATGCCACGTACCCTCGCTCGCAGTGGCTCTCAAATCAAAGGGCGCGCGCCTGGGAGCCTGCTTGACGGCCTCCTGGGACGGGTCAGGAGGCACTCACTGTATCAGTTTCTGCTTCGTCTACCATCGCTGCGCCTCGTCCCTGAACCCTCACGGCCCGCCTCCCCCATCACTCGGCACCGCTGCAACTCTTTCGCTAAAACATTCCACTCTATAACCCTCGTCAAAAAGTAACCTCAAAAATGTCTGACGTGGTTGAACTGCTTGTCGGAAGATCTGAGGCCGAGTATCGATGAGTGCGGGGTACTTGCATGCGCCGCCCCTCCAATGTCGGTCGACGTCAAACTTTCGAGTCAACTTCGGTCAGACTATCTTTGCCCTCGCCCCGACATTGAAGGGGCGGCGTGTCGACATTGAGGGGCGCGCCGAAATCGAAATGACGTGCCAGCAATTGTTGAGGTTAATTTTGACGATGGTAGTAGTTCGCACGGAAAAACATAAACAATCCTACCGCGCGTATGGGTCGAGGATTTAGCCGCAAGACCGAGCTGTTGCATGCATGCAAAGGGGACAGATCAAGGCTGCAAAAAGAAGGCCGATCTCGTTCACGGATCGCCCACGGGGAAACACGCGGCCCTCGCGGCAGGCAGCTTACCCGTCGGTCGGAAGAAGCAGGCGGGGAGCCACGAAGCGGGAAGGCGCTGGAAGCAGACTGGGATCCCGCCCGCCCCCTGAGGAGGGAGGAAGAGGTGAGACCGCTCGACCTTTGAAGCAGGAAGGCGCACAGAAAGTAGATTGGGATCCGAACATCCACACTTGCCGACTGTCGGCGACCGACGTGTCTGGACGGCCCTTCCGGCGTGCGCGCCCCTCGGTGCCCCCCCCCCTGGGCGCACTCGGGCCCGCTCCTCCACGGCGGAGTCGTACCACTGCCTCAGGGCGCGCACGTCCGACTCCACCTGGCGCAGCATCTGCAGCGCGTCCTCCTCGGGCGACCACGGCGCTCTCCTCCTCCTCGATCCTCCTCCTCCCCCTCCTCCTCCTCCTCCTCCTCCTCCTCCTCCTCCGCCTCCGCCTCCTCCTCCTCCTCCGCCTCCTCCTCCTCCTCCTCCCCCTCCTCCTCCCCCTCCTCCCCCTCCCCCTCCTCCTCCTCCTCCTCCTCCTCCTCCTCCTCCTCCCCTCCTCCTCCTCCTCCTCCTCCTCCTCCTCCTCCTCCTCCTCCCTCCTCCTCCTCCTCCTCCCTACTCCTACTCCTACTCCTACTCCTACTCCTACTCCTACTCCTACTCCTACTCCTACTCCTACTCCTACTCCTACTCCTACTGCTCCTCCTCCTCCGCGGGTGACCACGGCGCAGCGTCTGCAGCGCGTCCTCCTCTGGTGACGTCCTCGGGTTTCACGCGAGATGGCACAGCGACATTACGCGGCGGCTTGCGCGGGCCGCCAGCGCGTCACGCAACGCTGGAAGCGAGAGCGTCCACGCGCGACCTTGCGCGGGCAGCTTACGCGCCAATGCCGGCGCAGGCGATCCCGTTTTTTTCCTTGCGTCGCTCGGAGAGAGACACGGGACCTCCCCGGTGGCAGGCCCGTCGAGTTGAAGGACGCTGGAAGCAGGGTCTGCACGCTCAGAGTCCCCACAACGTGGCATGGACGCAGGGTCTGCAGCATGCCCGACCGCTGGCCCACGCAGGTCGAAGTGAGCGAAGCACGGCGCGGTCTGCGTGGACACGGCGAGGTCCGACAGTGCGGCCCCGTCGAAAGCGCAGCAAAGCTGAGTGAGCACACAAAGCTGTGCCTATACGACAACCCTTCGGGTGATAAGCAGGGAGGGGGAGGGGAAGGAATCAACTGTTGGCAATTGCGATGGGCGTGATCCTGGCGATGCTGGTGGAGCGCTCTCGAGATGGCGACGACGCGTGATGACGATGTTGCGCTGCGATGTGATGTCACTATCGACCTAGCTGTCGATATATGAAGCGATCTTGATTAATATCACAATCAAGCTCTCAATCGATCCCACGATCGATCTCACTGTCGATCTCGCAA